AAGGCAATGGGGCCAAGCATCATGGCCTGACACCATGAGTCAAAATAAGTCTTTCTCCTTATAAGTTGATCATCTCAGGTGCTTCGTCACAGCCATGCAAAGCCCACACGAAGATAAGGCTTGCTCCCTTATCTGCACATTGGCACTTGTTGTCCTTTCTTTCTGGAATGTTCTTCCTGCAGATCTGAGTAGTGGCTGTATTTCATCGTCACATTTTAGCTTAAATGTCCCCTTTCAAGGAGGCCTTCCTCAATTACCCTCAGGGTGACAGTCCCTGCAACCTACCCCCAAGTCTCTTTGTCCCCTTGCCCTGTTTTGTTTCCTTCATAGCATGAGCCTGGTGAACTTTCTTAAGACTTATTTAGTGGTATGTGGGCTGTTGGTCCCCACTAGTCTGAGTGCTGCCTGAAGAGGACTATCTCATTTGTCCCTGTATCCCCCTTGCTTAGCTAGTGTCTGCCCTCTGCCTGGAGGACAGAGTCCTGTTACTTCACTTGGGTTGATTTTGGCGGGGGCTGGCGCTGAAGTATCAGTTGTAAAGGAAGGCCAAGCTAAACCTGAGGACCACAGGAAAGTGATACAGCAGGCACAGGGTCCATTGTTACCATGTCTTGAGGTTTGCCTGACTATTCAGAGCTGCTACCCTGAGTGGACCTGAAGCAAGTGGCCTTGGTGGCTGAATCCTGCATTCATTGCTCCAAATATAATTCTCTGGAATCTTAAGAGCTTTTCCATCCTTGGGGGGAATTTGTAGAGCTAAGAAGCTTGACTGCTCTTGAGCTGGTCATTTAAACTGGTTGGGTCACAATAAGACCTTTTTTTTTCTTCTTTGAGACAGGTCTGGCTAAGTTGCTGAGGCTGGCCTTGAACTCACGATGCTCCTGCCTCAGCCTCCTGAGAAACTGATATTGCAGACGTGCACCATTGTGCCCGTCTGTGAGACTGTTTTTGTGACCCAGGCTGTTTTAAGATTTTCAGAACAAGAAAAGCTTTAAATGGAAAAGCTTTG